GAGTAATTAAAAACCTAATGTCAGGCTTTGACCGTCAAGGCTTAATAGCCCAACCATGTCATCGCAATTGATTCATCGAAACCACGTTATTCTTGATATCTGAAATTAAGATAATCCAGCCTAATTGTATGGAGACTAGTTTTATGCTCGACGATTTAGTGAGCCTCACAAATTCTAGCAGCTGGATATGAGGGTTCAAAAGGTACTCCAGGACTCATATTTCTGCATCCTGAGGCACATTCGATTACACTGACACAGCATCAACAAAAGGAGGATGCCAACGAAAGATATGAGATTTTCCTTCACCATCAATCTGAAGTTATGAGAGAGCACGAATACTAAGCTGCGAAAACAAGGTTAAACCAATTGATAGCCATTGCTTCAGTATAAATGTGATCTATACCTAATCTACAAAAGCTACACTATTTGTGGGTATATCTTATAGAACAAAAAGTATCAATTACTTTATTTACCTATTCTTAATACCCATTTTGAGAAGACGGCAGCGGAATTACTTGTTGCACGGTGTAGATTAAGTCGTGTTCAAGAGATTCTCAGAGGCCAATCTGCTAGTCCACTAACTCGCAACTGTTTCATGCAACCGAGCCTACCTAATCGAGTAACCATGCCACCAGACCTCAATGCAATGTGGTAATTTGACTTGTCGAAACAATCTGTCAGAGTCGCCTTCTCGTCCTCATACCCTCTGACACGCATTCCCCATTTTTATCAATCTCTCTTTCAGTTTCGCCCTGGCAACAAGACAATTCGAGCGAGCTCGATTCAATGGTTTCCATTAATCGGCCCGTCACGCTAGCCTTGGTCCTCCTCACCTGACAGCGTGCAATTATACCCTTCAACTTCCCCAAGTAGCCCAACATTTCGTCCTGAAGCCCCACATTGGATTGCCTCACTCACTCGTTCACTCTTTCTCGCTATCTGTCACCTGCCGGCCTCTTCCAACCTGGTCTTGTCCATTCCGCATAAGAACACATCAACCATTCCGGTTCTTCTAACTTACTCGGTTCTCGGCTATCCGTCCCAAATTCTCTCTGTGTTATTTCCATGCCTTCGGTCATCTGGGCACCCGACACGAGGGCATGTGCCGGTCGACAGGTTCCCTGCCACAGCCTCCCTCTCTGCCTTGGAAGGCAACGGGCCGCTGGAAGCTCAGTCACCTGTTTGCCCCAGATCCAGTGAATTGCGACGAGGGTTGGAGAGAATGTCCTCTTTTATGGTCAGACGCGCGTTTCCAAATGCTTATGGAAGCGGTCAGTGAAAGGATAACGTTTTTGCCCTCGATAACAGTCCCTTAAATCACATTCAATGTTCAAGTCATAGGCGTCGCGTAAAGCCAGTACTATTCCTGCTGGGCATGAATGTGAACGCACTCAGCTGTGGATAAAAGAGCAATCAGAAACTATGATATTAGTTTGGGTGCACAAGCGAGAAAACCTATCTCCTATCCAGGACTCGTCAAAAAGGAGAAGGCATTTGCTTTGGAAGCGAACTTGAAAAAGGCGAAAATAATGCAATCACAAAATTCTAGATAGAGTACTTTTCATTTCGTTTGGAGGGGCATCTTCCTTATCTTTATGTCTGGTGAATTATCGTAAAGCAGGTGTCCTGGTATGACTATGTGCATCCAAGTACGAAAGCTCAGCAAGGATTCATCGGGGTCGCAAGGAGGTGTGCCGAGGATATGGTCACACAAATCTGCAATCCCACTACAGCTTTCGGTGAAGCCAACTTACAAATACCCTCCACTCGCCTCTTCAAACGATATGAAAATTACTCAAACACGAATTTATTATGGCATTCTTCGAAAACCAGTTTGTCTACATATCTACAAAATTTAAGTATTCTTAAAGTAGAGTTTTTCTTATTTTATCCTGAAAAAACAAGAAGGCTGGACGTCAATAGTAAAGTATTCATTATAAAAAAGTACCCATTTTGCTGTATTGACTGCTATTCGAAAGAAGACTTAGGCAATCGTGGTAGCCTAAAATGATTTAAGGATTGAGTGAAGTTTGTTCCACAATGAGATGAGTAGGTCTGACAAAACCATTACATTTCGCGTAGCCTAGTTTCCCAAAAATGTTTTCTCATCCAAGCATGAGTGGATTGCAGTTTCGACCTGGCACATATGGCCTCAAAAACCCAAAAATGTAGTAGAAATCGCGTCGTTGGAATTGTGTCGACAGACAAGCATTTAAAATACTCTCTCACAAAAGATTGCTGATATTCTCGAAATATGTCGAAAAAAAGCAATATATTCGAGTTCAACAGCAAATACGTTTACTTCATCCAAAACCCTGCTTTAAAAATGTGATTTGGAGGAGATGTCTGTATACTTATTAGTTCTTTTGAAAAGACGGGTGCAAGGATTTCGTAAGTTGGCCTCACAGTACACCGATGGGCTTAAGTAAACTTTGGATCTAAATTGTCAAATGAATTAATTTATGAATTCGCACAACCCGCATGCATCTATAATACTAAGACAAGCGTCAGTTGGCAGGATAGCAAGATAGTTTAGTTTCGTAAAGCAACAGCTCTGAACAAATCGTTTCCTTTTTCTATGAATCAACTTTACTAGCCTGTATGCATGCAGGGTAGGGATAAAGAAGCCAACTAAATTATGAATGAAGATATGAATACCAAAATAATGTGGCCCCCGGTATCGCCGCATCTCCTTTCGATTTATAGAAGTGGGTTGACCTCGTTGTCGCAACTTTGTTTTTTTGTCAGAGCGACTTAGTAGAATGCACCTAGCCCGAAGTCCTCTACCATAGTAGTTATCATAATTCCAAGCATCAGACAGTGGATTTGGTACATTCTGTCTAATGCTGGGAATTATGATAAATACTATGGCAGAGGACTTCGGGCTAGGTGCGTTCTACTAAGTCGACCTGACAAGACCAAGTTGTGGCAATGAGGTCAGCCTACTTCTATAAATTATGAATGCCTCATTAAGATAGAAAAGTGGGACAAGAAATAAATAGGACTTCAGCCGAGCACTTTTCTGGGCTACATATTTTTCATGAATTTTCTTAAATAGTGGCATCTGGATTTGACGAGGTCCGTCATTTGACGGACGAAGGCAAAGCAAGGATTCATCGGTGACGCAACGATGAGCCGAGATCTTCTTCGCATATTACAGCAGTCACTAGTCCAAAGCAATCCTCTTTCGGTGTGCGATAGAGCCCACCTATTAATCCACTCTACCCACCTATCCAAATAAAATGACAGGTACATCAGCATTAATCTATTAAGCGATTCTTCGGAGCCCAGCTTCTCTTCATGCGGTTTGGGAGATACCTGGCTTGCCTAACATGCCACGCTTGCCTTGCGGCTCATTGGCCGAGAAAGTAATAGCCATACAACTTGAGGTCTAAGCCCGGCTTTTAATCGTATTAGCGGTGTCGAAACGGGTCAGTACTGAGTCGAAAAGGTAGTCGATTCCTGAGGAAACGGCCTTTTGGGATAACAGGACTAAACGAAATTCGTCAAAGTCCTTCATTCCTTTCAATTTGGCCAATTAAACCATCAGTTTCACGCCACCTGAGTTGACTGTTGTTATTATTCACGATTTAGTGCTGGCCTAGAGAAATGCTCACTAAAATAGGCGTTACTAAAGAAAATCTTCTGGAATAATCCCTTACAGTATCAGGTCGAACTATCAACAAAAGGGTCGAATATTACTAATTAGGCTTAAGGCTTTCTGACAACACTTAAATGATTGCGTAAACAAAGGAATTTTGCAAGAGGAGCTGTACTTCAATCCACCTATAGTACAAGAATAATCTCGGAGACCCTGCCGACAGATTTATCGAGTATGCAAAAAGACGAACTAAATATTCATAAATTATCTATGCCATAAATAGCATATGAAAATGATATATACATAATTTAAAAAAGATAACCAAGATCCCAGGGCCAACCAAATGTCATTTTCATCCCGCATCAAGCCTAAGTATGTACACACACCAGTAAGCCAACAAGCCAAAATGTAGAAAAGGGTTGTAGTCCGTTGCCAGGATAGAATGTACAAGAGGATATGAAGAAATATATTCTCCAGAATATAGTACAGCACTTGTTGAAGAAATAATTGGCGAGGGTAACCTCTAGATATGTACAACCCGAGCGAATTGGTAATGATTGCGTGTGTGCAAATATACAAGTTTAGGCATTGCGCCTGAACAGATGGCTTGGAGTTATATATAAGAAAAGATATTTAAATTGGTAAGAGTTTAATGGCCGTTTTGGGAGCAAAATGAAAAGGAACGAAATTAGGCCAAAACAAAAAAATAAGTCCCATGGTGAACGATAGGAGATAAGCCGGCTTAACTAAAGATAATTTAAAAGAATGCTAAAATGTATTGCATTGTGAGTGGAAGATATTAATATTATTTATATACATATACTCATGTATATAGGATGATTAAATGATTAAAAAGGTCTAAAATCAAAATAGTGTGAGTGTTTTATCAATCCGGAGTTTCCAATAAGAGCGATGTCACAGCCATTGGTCAAATGGTTAACCACCTGTTAAAAGACCAGAAGACGACAAGGTTTAAGTTCTTTTGAAGTGGCATGATTAAAAGGTTATCAGCCGTGAAGACTCAATAAAGCAATGAGGGATAAGGGACGAGACATTCGTCTCATATGACGCTCAAATAGCGCTTAGAATAATTTCTCGAAGTAGAAAAATAGGAATCTTCAAAGAATGATATAAAATCGGGAATAAGCCGATATAAAGTGAAAGAGGATAGGCGCAGGTAGGTGGGTTGTCAGAGATGTGACGACCGAAGGCACTTCACCACACGAGGCATTAGAGCAAGCCGTGAGTGGAGTTCAGCTGGTAGACGATCAGTTGGAGCAAATACACACTCCTCGATTGGATCAGCAAGGCCATTATGTGCGACTGGGGGCGTAAAGCGAATCTGACGAACTAAGCTATCAGAATAAATTATGAGCAGACGTGCGCCATCGTTAAACTGAACCTGTAGCTCCTCTGCAGATGGAACACTGGCCCAGCCTATGCCCTCAACGAAGACTGAGCAAGCCGGAAGTGGTAGCTTAGTAGAAGCAGAATTCTGTCGACTGGGACTAGGATTTGAGCCACGACAGCGTTCAGGAGAGACATCGAACCTGCGCTCGGAGAGGCCGGTGGAAGCTAGGACTCGTCGGCTAGGTTCAGTAGTGGTGGCATAGCTAACTTCTGGAAGGTTCTTTGCTTCAGATCGAGCAGGCTGTTGAGTAAAATGAGAAATTTGGACTTCTGCGTTGTCAAGCCTCAGGTCAACCTCTGAGAGAAGAGCAGACAAACAAGGTGGCAAGCCCGCTAAGCTTAAAATGGGCTCAGATACTCCCGGAGCATGAAGATAAGTATTCGTAGGACTAAGAGAAGTGTGTAAAAAGCTAGGCCGACGGCCTACGATCACAGGAAATGGGGAAAGTTGATGGTCGCCAATCGGATCTAATGTAGTAGACAAAAGTTTCTCGATCGCCAAGCACTGATCCCGGTACTATAAGGAAATAAAGTAAAACGATGAACAAATTATAAAGTAAGAGTCAGTATGCAAGAGAAAGAAAGTTACGTGTAGATATAGATGAGAAATCGATGAAAAAATAAATGGGAATTTACAACTTAACAAAGGCAATACTGATATATTATGCGTTGTTGGTACAAATATCAGTAGATTTAGAGTCAATTTAAAAATACCATCACATTAAAATGTAATATGAGACGTATTTACTCTATTTCGTTTAAGCTGATGAAGGATTTGTAGTAGAATTTTCCCACAATGATATGAATACAGTTGACGTTTCCATTGCATTTCACATAGCCTTGCTTTCCCAAAACTTGTTTTTATCT